CCTAACGGGGGACTCCATAAGTTGGCTTCCCCTTCGCATGCACCGTAGCGTATATTCACCTGGAGGGACCCAGAGCGGAGGGCATATTTACTTGCGAAGCAGCTCTATTGGCGTTTAAGTAACCCCCCCGCAACAGTCTTTTCCTGAGAAAGGAATGAACAAAGAGGCGGGCGAGGGGGAAAAATAATTGTTCATTAATTTTAACGTTTAGCGATTGGATCTTCCATTTCTTCCTTTTCCTCATCTTCCTTTTTTTTTTTTTTTTTTACGTTCTTGTGCTGGACAACAATGCGATGCTTCCCTTCTTCCTCTTCTTCTTGTTCTTCCTTCTGCTCCCCCCTCCTGGAGTGCACACTCGACGGAGTGGAAAATATCTTCCCCGTGCCCCCCAGGAATTGTGCACATTTCCCTATGCGTCACCTCAAATTGTTCTTTCACTTTGCAACTTAGCATGCATTACTTCATTTTGGTGCACTCCGTGAAATCTGCAGAAATGCCATGCTTTTGCCCGAACAGCTGGCCACATGACGCCTTGTTTGTCCCATCAAGCCCTTCTTCACTCCATCTCACTCCACCTATTTGTATCCTCCGTGGGGGTGGTTTGAGTTGGTCGCACGTGTTACTCGGCTTTTGCCCTTTCGTCCTTTGCACTTCGTCTTTTACTCTTGACCCTTCGACCTTCATCCTTTGCTCCCCCGCTTTTCTGTCCACTCCACTGTACACACATTTTAAGCCGCACTTTTACTTCCCCCCAATGAAGGAGTACCGACTCCCTGAGGAACAAACACAGCACTGCGCGCACATGCGTACGCGCATAGGGCGTATTGCTAAATCTTCACATGTGCATATTTGTTTTAAGATATAGTTTTTTTTTTTTCTTTTTTCTTTGCTTTTTTTCCTTTTTTTTTCTTTTTTTCGTTTGAGCTTATTTTTGTTTTTCCAATTCTGGTCATCCAATTCATCTGTCCACGTTAACATTTTGCATTTCATGGGGCGTAGCAACTAAATTGATTTTACAGGATACCTTGTGGGGGAGTTTTTTCGGAGGATGCTTACCTCTCCGCCTTGGCATGAGACCGATTGCATGCGCAAGCATCGATTCGCGAATGGCGTGAAGAGGTTAGAAATTAAGACTGCCTCTCTTTTTTGACCCCAGGTTGGTCACCCCAGCTGTCTGGTGTCCGTTTGTCTGTCAAATTTTTTGCCCCATTGTCTGTCCAATTTGCTGCCCCATTGTCTCTCCAATCTGCTGCCCCGCTGTCTGCCAAATTGTCTTGGCCTATTTGTTCGTTTTTTTTTTTTTTTTTGTGCCCACGCTGGTGGCTTCCGTTTTGCTGTCCATCTAGCGGCTTTCACCTTCTGTCCATCGCTTCCATCCGCGCGAACCCATGGGACCGGAGAAAGCGAAAAACGGAAATCATGGAGAAAAAAGCAAGAGCAAAGCGGTCTCCCACGTGGCGGACCCCCCGAGGAGGGTGGGAGAACATCCCCCCAAGAAAGGGGAATTGAAAAAGACGGTGCCAAAGAAAAACATCCTGAGTGATTACAAAGTAAACAAAAAGGTGCTCCCGTCGAGCAAGAAGTTAACCAAGAATGCGGACTCCTCCGATAGGGAAGAGGCACCCAGTGAAGACAATGAACAGAGTGACCTTAGCATGAGTGTTGGGCGGGGCGGAGGCACTCGATCGAGAAGAGATACAACCGCCGCAACGGGCGCAGCAGCGGCAACCGGAGCAACCGCTCAACCCTCCGACACGACAGTAGAAAACCCCCCCAGTGACATAAAAATTTTAGTGACGAGCGATGAGCCTCTGCACACGCTGCCATCTGGAGCCGTGGGGAGGAGAGCTCCGCTGAATCCGTTTTCATCCCCCATTCTTGGAAAGTACCGGAGGAAAAACAGAAACGCCAAAATGAAAGTAAAAGACCCAAGGCTTAATAACAACCCCCTGGTTGGAAGATTAATTGTCTGTATATCCTCTACGGCGATACTCTTCTGGGTCTTCTTCGCAGAGATGATATTTAATTACAACACGTTTAATGGGAGGTGCATTTCGAAGGTACTATACCCTATTTACACCGAGACGGTGGTGAAGAAGAGGGAACCTTTTTTTGTTTTCCTTGGTTATGGAGCATGTGAATACAACTTAGAAGAGTCCGCATCGGATCGACATTTTATTGGAACCAGTGCATCGGACAAAGGTTGGCCGACAAACAAAGTGGAAGATAATCCAGATGGAAGAGGAGAGTCCAATTGGGACAGCGTAAATACACGTGTATATAATCAGTTAGGAGGACTGAACACAAATTACATACGAAACTATGGAGAGTTGTATCGTCTCTTTTGGTCTGTTTATCTCCATGGTGGATTCATGCATATCATATTTAACGTCATATGTCAGATACAGATTCTTTGGATGATTGAACCTGATTGGGGGTTCCTACGGACTCTGCTCCTTTTCTTTATCTCCGGAGTGACAGGAAATTTATTGTCTGCTGTTTGTGACCCATGTGGTGTCACCATCGGGTCATCCGGTTCCTTGTATGGTTTGATAGGAGCTCTCTTCACTTACTGCATTGAATACTGGAAGACGATTCCGAGACCTTGCTGTGTCTTAATATTCATGGTGGTTGTGATTATCTTTGGCATTTTCATCGGCATGTTCGGATACACAGATAATTACGCTCATATGGGTGGCTGTCTCGGGGGGATACTCTATGGTTTTGCTACTATCACAACTGTTTCTGCAGCGGATAAATGCACTTTGGGAGAACGCATGTTAACTTCTCCTCCATTCTCATGGTTCTTGTCCAATGAGACGAAGGAGCTGATTAACGCCAAAGCGAGGGAAAAGAAGATACGAGGAGAAAACTACCGAAAGAAACAGATTGCTAATAAGGTACACAAGGAGGACCCTTTCCATGTCATGATGTCTCTTATGAAGAACCGAATCAATGAGGAAGGAAGACCACCATGCAAAATGAAACTACGCGAATGGATCGTCCGGATCACTGCCGCCTCTGCGCTTATCATCCTCTGGATCGTCCTGTTCGTTTACCTCCTGAATGAGACCGCCTACAGGTCCTACACCCCCATGGGTCAAATCAAATTTACCGGTGTCCATACCTGCTTCTGCTGTGAGGTCAGCAAAGAGAAGTTCCCCTTTGTCAGTGTTGACAACCTCTACTGGTGTTTCACCAACGAGGAGGCTACGAAGTATTACTGCGGCAAGTGAGCGCAGCGGAGGAGCGATGAAATGAGGAAGTGGTGAAATGGCGAAATAGCGAAGCGGTGAAGCATCGAAGTGGTGAAACACCGACGTAGCGAAGCCGATAGGATGGGAAGATGAAAAAAACGGGATGCGCCAAGGGGCCCTCTTCACGACCTAGTAAATGTTTTTTGCACGTGCGGTTGAGCGGTTGAGCGGTTTAGCGGCATACCCTCACGGCGTAGCCGCTTCTGCTTCTTGCCCCTTCTGCCTTTCGCCTCTTCCGCACCTGGCACGAATTATTTGTAAGCCCCACTCGCGCAGCGAGGCAGGGGCGCGCGCGTGTCTGTGCGCATGCGTGTGTGGTCAATGTGCGCTGCTAATCTCTGCGCTGCTAATCTCTGCGCTGTTAATGTGTGCGCGTTCGTAGGTGCATCCGCGCGGCCCATCTGCACAGGCCATCCGCTGGGCCAACCTCCACACGGGAGGACAACCCGGGAGAGACTATAAAACACCTACTCGAAATTAAAAAGACGCTTGGTTTCGTTCACAACGTTTTGTATAAGCGTGGAGAAGTAGACAGGCCTTGAATGCGTGCCTGCATTGAGGGAAGTGGGGTTAACAAATCAATATGGTGGCGAGGGCAACGGTGGCGAAAGCATCGATGACGTCGGCAGTTGTGGCGTGAGCGCCGGTAGCATTAGCCGCGTTAGCGGCCGTGCCAGAGATCCCCCGTGACGCAGAAAAAAGGGTTCCCCCCGGTGAGTCCAAATATACGAAAACACGCGCACGACGAGGTAACACAAAAATTGTCTGCTATTTTAGAAACTTTTTTTTTTTCATATTTTGGCAAAAAGGGGAGAAAAAAAAAAAAGGCGTAAAAGGGGGAGCCGCAAAAGGGCATGCAAAAAGGTTTCCACAGGATGAAAATGGCGCGACCACAATGAAGCGAAGCCGACACACCAGCTCTGCTGCGACGTCGCTGCGGAGCTATGTTCGCATTTCAATCGTTTTGATCACCATAGTAATCCACTTGATACCAGGGGAGGAGACTCTGGAAGAAGGCTATGATCAAATTGCTATTTAGCGAGACGTAATAATCGGAGGGGGTTCCGGGGATGTGGGGAGAGTAGGTTCTGTTTTTCTCCATCATGAAATCTGGTAGTAGGTAATGGTTTGACTTGAATTCGCCGACCCGGACGTCTTTGTACTTGTTTCTGTCCAGGAGGGTGACTTTTCCGTGCCACTGTGCTCTCGCGTTATCCAGGGCTTGGGCCGCTGCGAAGGAGGGTGAAGAAGCGGGGCAACCATGTAAAGAAGCGGGGACAAACGTGAGGAAGGATCGGGGTAAGCATGCGGTGAAGCGGCGCGGTAACACATATAATCACTACGTGGAGGCACCTCTCTTCACCCGCTGCACCTACCTGAGGGGTCCTTATACAGATCGTGCAGAAACGCACTGCACACGTGGAACCACGTGATGATCTTTTCCGATTTGTAATATATGTTGTTCTTCTCAAGGTAACAGCAAATTATCTTCTGTACGGTTTCATATTCTCCTAGGCGAAATAGACTAGGAGAGGAAAATGGAGGGCTCGCCAGGATATCCTGGAAGGACGTCTCATAAATGGTCTTCTTCACCACCTTAGTCGTTTTGAAATTGTTGTAATTAAGAAACGTTTGCAGGAAGTTGGGGAAGCATAGGAGTGCTCTTAGGAGGGTTATATGTGCCGAGAAGGAGAGGGAGGGTTGTTCCTTCTTCTTCTTCTGTTGATCGGCGGTGACTTTGGGGGGGGTGCTCTGATCACGCTCACCACTACCGAGGTGACCCTCATCACGATCGAAGTGATCCACAGCACGATCGAAGTGATTGTCACCACTGCCGAGGTGACCCTCAGCATGGTCACTTTGGGCATGTCCGTCGTGTCCACCCCTTTCGCCATCCCTGTGGCAGTTAAAACGAATGGAGAAATGGGGGCTCAGAAATCGACACTCCTCATATGTGAACGCACTGACCAGATCGTCTACGCTGATCAGCCGAATCTCCTTATGGTCGACAGAATTGTTGTTCTTCAGGTACATGCTTAGCGGCACGGAGAAGGCGAAGTTGGGGAGGATGAAGTGCAATCTTATTTCGAAGTTGTCGAAGAGGAGTTTGTTCTGAAGGGTGTTTCCGTCTGCTACGCCTTCGTCGCCTTCGCAGTTTTTGCACTCTTCGCGGTCTTTGCAGCCTTTGTGATTTCTGCAGCCTTTTCGGTCTTTGCAGCCTTTTCGGTCTTTGCAGCCTTTTCGGTCTTTGCAGCCTTTGCGGTTCTTGCAGCCTTTACATCCTTGGCATCTTTTGCCGATTCCACAGGCCCCTTCCAGGGGGTTGTTCTCATCCTTCTCATCTTGCATAAATTTCTTATACTGCTCATCCCGCTCATCCTGCTCATCCAACTCATCCGACTCATCGACGGAGTATCGCTCACGATTGATGGACAACTCTGACCTGTCTTCGTTGTCCATCCCATAAAGTGATCCATCATTCCAATCTGCCTCATTTGGGGGTTCCCTTTTCGCGTCGTGCATTTGCTCCACTTCGTCTGTTCTTCGCTCCGGAGTTCGGGGTGCCGCTCCCTCAATGTAGCCACTTGCCAGTTGGTTGGTATGACCTGATGATTGGCCCTCCCCAATTGCTGCAGGTGCTACCCCCTCGTGTACATTCCCCGCTTCGTCACAATAATATTGTGCCGGTTGTATGTTACGGATGTCTCCCTCCCACGGGGGATGGTACATTTCTGGGAACATCATCCCCTTGTGGAAGAAGTCACTCTGAGCCGAGGGGAACAAAGTGCTGATGATCTCGCTCAGCTTTGCAGGGGGAACGACACACTGCACATTTTGTATGACAAAATTGAAAGAGAAATAAATGAAGAAGTCAAATAAATTGCATTTTAAAATCAAGCTGTCGATTCGAAGGAGGATACTACATAGGTCAAACTGAAGGTCAATCTTGCACAACAGTTTGGCAACTTCAAGGGAGGTAATCGTACAGGCTTCATTCTCTAGAGACATCATATGCATGTAGAGTGCTTTAAATAGCGCTTTGTTATCATACAGGTAAGGGTTCACGTAAATGTGTCTCTCTTTGTTTAAGTTGTTCGGATGGAAATCGATGTGAAACACGTGTTGCAAAACGAGAAGAGCCAGCTTAGTGAATTTATTTGCCACCTCAAAATTGTTTGACTCGTTATAATATTCTGAGAGGACTAATAAGGTGTCCACATGGAAAGGGAACTTTTTTATCAGATTATGCATTGCTTCTATGTCATGCGTGTCTAGGAGGACATAAAAGAGGTTCTCTGCCTCGAGGTAGAGCTTATACTTCTCCAGTTTGAATTCGTTGACATACCTTTCCATTGAAATCGGCGGATGGACAATCTTTGTGGTGTAATCTTGTATGAGCCAATTTTTTATATACTTGATTTTACTTTTTTGGATGAATTTTTTTTCCTTTACGAAATCTTTTCCAAAGATTCGTTTCAATTCTACATTGACGTCGAAGTTTCCTTTTTCTAGCTTCAAACAGTAGTCATATTTTTCGTGTGTGCATGCTGACAAATCTGGGAGGATCATTTCGGATGGCATGCCCCCTCCCTCCTGTGGCTCTTCATTGGAATCATTCCCATTTGGATGTCCCCCGTTTTTTTGCTTCACCTCTGTATTGATTGTGTGCAGTATGTCGTCGATTTCTTCGTCCTGGTTTTTTCTTTTTTTCTTCTTCTTCTTCCTCTTCGCGTTTGGCGTGGGGGGGGCTTCGCTGCCAACCTGTTCATTGGCCTGTTTGGTGCCATCATTCTGCGACTGCCCGGATTTTACGCCATTCTGAGATTGCTTCGATTTTACGCCATTCTGGGACTCCTCCCTTTTTACGCCATTTTGCAGCTCCTCCCCTTTTACACCATTCTGCGATTGCTTCCCTTTCTTACGGCGGCACGCTCCTTTTCCTTTCCCCTTTCCAGCGCTCTCCTTTTCAGCCTTTCCATCACTCTGACTAGCCTCACTCGCCTCCGAGTCGTCCAAATACGCAAAGACGCTCTTCTTCTTTGGCCTAACCGTGACCGCCTCCTCCTCCACCGCCTCTCCAAGTGCTTTTATCTCATCGCGGGTCTTCTCCTTTAGAAACTTCTTTAGCAGTCGACTAGACATGTTTTGCTAGGGTGTTCATTTCGAGTGGGCCAGTGTAGGGGAGGGGTGTCATTCAGGAGAGAAGAAAAAAAACACATGTGATGCATCCCGCGGTGCTGGAGAACCGGGGAGTACAAACCTACGCTTGGACGGCGTGAACTCCTCGTGGTAGGTCATTCAAGAGAAAGAGGTGTTTACCAAGTCGCTTCACCTACTTCCTATTCACTTTTCGCTGTTTTTTTTTTTTTTTCCTTTTTTTATTCCCTTTTAGAGGGGGAAAAAAGGGTTCTTTTTTCCCTTACAGCGCCCTCTTAACAAATCGCCTCTCGCAAGAACATACGATTGCATACTCATTCAGAGGGAGAACAAAAGAAAGGAAGAAAAAAAAACAAAAAAAAAAAAATATACGAAACGGCAAGGCACCATAAAATAGGATTAAAAGAGTGAATCGCCAAGGTTCCAGAAGCTGCGTTGCTGCAGTATAGCAACCAATTCGGGTAGGCAAAGGAAAAAAAAAAAAAATTGTCACTTCGCCACAGCATGGAAAAAAAAAGTACCCACCCTCGATGCCTAATGAAGTACACCGAAATACGTACGCTAAACTGTGGGACGAGAAAAAAAGGGAAATATGTTCTGAAAAAAGGAAAAAGAATGGACGGCGGCGAGGGAGGAAGAATGCTCTCACTTGGGGACAATTAATCATAGCAGGTTTCACACATCGTGGCTATTTAAAAAAAAAAAAAAAAAAAAGAAAGAACTGGGTATGTTAGAAGAACGTTGCTTGAAGAGGGGCACATATGCCCTTGTACGCAAAACAAAGTCGTCATGTAGGAAGAAGCATGTGCGTGGCGAACGAACAACAAAAAAAAGAAAAAAAAAAGAAAAAAAAAGTACGCGCGATGAAGCAGTGCGTGTATTATATGGGTAACGGAAAACAACACAGCTGGTGCTTCGTCTACCAGCTCAGGCGACGAGATGAGGCCACGTGAGCCTCCGTGATGCTGCGGAATAAATAGTGAACTCCCCCTGGAAAATTTTCCAATAAGTGCAGGGAGCTCCCAAAGGGGGAGTGGGCCCCTCGTGAAGGCGTCCTGTTTGGAGCGCCCCCTCTGAAATACCACCTGGGAGATCCTTCATCTGGGAAGGATCCTATCTCTGCTACAACCCCCTGGGGAAACTTTTCACCGGAAGGACTTCGTAAGATTCAAATGGTAGTAGTTGTTCGTTTCGTCGCAGGCGTTCCCGCTGGGGTGCCTGCTGGAGCCGTCCTCCGCAGTGGCCTCTTCTTCCCGGGTGCTGCCGTCGCCGGTGGTGCTATCCCCCCTCAGGTACCTACGCTGCTCCTTGACGCCACAAAAGAGGCCACTGTTGAAGTTTAGAGAGAGACACTGGTTCTCCGGGGCCACTTCGTTGGAGCAGCTTGGGTCGAGGAAGAGGTTAGCACAGTTCGCTTGGTTGGCACATATGGCCTGGTTGGCACAGACCGCTCGGTCGGCATAGTTCCCTTCGTTGGTGCCGCGCGAGGAAGGGGGTCTTCTCCTCTCGCCTACTGCTCTGCCCACCGAGTCACCAATCCTGCTGTCCATCACCCCCCGGAAAATTCCCATAAACTTGTGCATGATGTTATCCCCATTATGCATGGCGGATGAGCCGCGGGCGTCTTGTACCACCTTGTCTCCCCTGCTGCCATTTTCGCAAAGCACGACGGAGCACTGGTTGGTTTGAACCCCACGGTGGCTGACCTTGGTCACATGGACCTCAAATCTAATGCGATTCTTCCGAAGAAAAATAATTTGCCTCAAAGTCCGATTAGTCACCTTAAACCTTCGTAAGTAGGGAAAGAAATTTTTCTCTTCGAAGAGGTAATCGGTAAAGGGGAACCTCGTCATTGACTTGAGGAAGGTTAAAGCTTCTTCATATGATAGGGACAAAATTTGTCTTTCAAAATGGGACAAAAAGATTAAGCTGAGCTTTATTAAGATCTTCAATCCGAAAAGAAAGAAGCTGTCCCATAATTTTACGGTCTGCTCAAAAGTTAAGTCCTGAGAGAACAGAGTCATAAACCAGTTTATACAGAAAAAATCCACTTTTATTTTTTTCCTTCGAAAATATGAAGACAGCTTGGGGAAGTATCCCTTTATGAGTATCTTCAGCTGGTACATGATTTTCTTCAGCTGAGGGAAATTGTAAATATACATTCCCTTTAAGTTGAAGATTTTGAGCAGAGCTATGAAGCACCTGGCTGTGTGCAGCTTGTCTTTAAGGACGAGGAAGAGGATTGCGACGACGTAATTCATTCCTTGACAGTAGCCCACATTTTGGAAATACAATGAGCATATCTTTAGCACATCGAAGAGTTCTTCCTGGGGAGGCGGACCATCTGTGGAAGCCTGCCCAGAGGGTATTGCTTCTGTGGCCGCTCCACTAACGTCTCCCATAACGTCTATCGTAACGTCTCCCCCAGCCGGAGGGAAGAATCTCTGCGGAAAGGTCCTCGGCACGTCCTTCTCAATGATCCCCTCGTAGGTGCTCCTCCTCCGTGTCAGCTCACCAAACAGGTCCTCACTCAGGTACGTGTTCTCCCCCAGCAGGATCATCTTCCAGATCATGCTTCTCTTTTCACTTCGAATAAATTTGCTCTTGTAAATATTTTTTAAGTTCCCCAGAGAGTAAGTTTCGAAAAAGAGGAGCTTGCAGGCCATAGAACAGTTGTGCCTTTCCTTTTCGTTAAGAAACGAAATGACCCTCGTTCCTAGGAAGGCTTTCAAACTGGGGGTGACCAAAGCCTTCTTCAGTAACCCCCGTAAATATCCCTCGTCACAGTAGGTGACATACTTTTCCTTTTTCCCCTCATCCGGTGTGTGCTCTCCGCTGGGCAGCTCCTTCTCTTCCTCAATGTTACTTCTCCTTTTTGTCCGCCCGCTTCTGTCCTGTCGCGTCCTCCCACTTCTGTCCTGTCCTGTCCGCCCACTTCTGTCCTCTTCTCTCCACCCGTTTTTTTGGTTCCTCTCCCCATCGGCGTCTTCCTCTTCGGGAAAAATTGCACATCCCTCTTGTGTGGCCTTTCTAGGGCTGTCTCTTTGCACCCCTCGCTTGAGATTAAACAGTTCGCCTTCCTTGTAGGAGCGCTGGAGGCCATTCCGGTGGTCATTCCTGGAGGATGGATTTCCCTGGGCGATTTTACCCCTCCTTCCATCCACCCCCCATTCACCACGTGCAGTTGCCTTCCCCCCATGTGCTACAGAATTGCGCCTCCATTCATTGTGATTCATTTCGTTGGAGACGTTGGTGAAAAGGCACAAGTGGGCAGATTATATAAATGGTTGCAGCCGCCTCTTTAAAAAAATTTATTTTTTTTTTTTTTTTTTTTTTTCCCTTAAACTGCACTACGATGATATTTCCCCTCCTACTGCTTCATTTTGATCATGTGCGGTGACACACATGATGACTGTTTTCTAATCCATCGGGGGAGTTGCTAAAAGGGGAAATTTTTTCTTTAAAAACGAGGCAGCGGTAACCATTTATGTATCTGCGACATGTACACCTGAGAAAAAAAAAAAATGTTGGCAGTCGGGAGAAATTTTAAGAGAGCGCAATTGCGGAGGGGTTCAAGCGTGCACATCGGGGAAGGGAGCAAAAAAGAACGTCGAAAGAGGAACGTCAAAAGGGAAAAGTCAAAAGAAGGACGTCAAAAGGGGAAAGCCAAAAGAAGGACGTCAAAAATGCGGAACGGGGGCAAATGGAAGGATAAACGACATGTGCAGTGCGCCTCTGGGGAGTGCCCCTCCCGAGTGTGCTATTTCCCCATTCGTGGTCCACCCTTCAGTTTCTACCCTGCGAGGCAGTAACTTCCGTAACGCGCAGCTCGCGAAAGTACGAATGTCGAGTCGGGAAACAACGCGAAAAGACCATCATCTAGCGGAGGGCACCATCCCGCCAGGGCTCTGTTAGTCGGATTTGCTGCAACGTACAAGGGGAGAGACAAAATGGGGAGTCTCCCAACCTGGGGCGGAAGCGTGTCCACAGGATGGTAAAAAAAATAAAATAAAAATCTACAAATAAGTGAAGAGAAGTAGCCACCACCAGCCAAAACTCTTCTGCGGAATGTTCAGTGGCATTGTTTTATTTCCCCTGTTCGTCTTCTCATAATGGTTGTATGAAGTATATCTTTTTTTTTTTTTCTTTTTTTTTTTTTTTTTTGCGACGTGGGACAGCCCAGGGGCGCAATCCATATATCTATCACCACCACCTCCTCAGTTGTGAACATCCTCTTCGTGAAAGCGTCTTCTTGTAAAAAATGCTCTAAATGAAATTGTCCTCCCCCCACATGGTTTTATCTCCAATCATGCTTGGTACACCCAGCTGGTGTTATATTCTGTGCGGATACGAGGGGATGGTGCTCTATATCGATGGCGCTAAAAAAAAGGGAGATCCTCTTTCCTCCGAGTTGCCCCCCGTAGGAGGCTTTACTGTGTGGGCTTCTCCCCCTCAGCATGACTGTCCCCCTACGTGTGCTTCTCCACTTAGGTGTGCTTCTCCTCATCGCGGCTCTCCCTCCCGATCATTCGCCGCGTATCCCCAACTTCACTGTAGCACGGCGGCTCTTCCTCCCAGGGTGTTCGCCCAAAAGGGGATCCCCTGCAAGGGAGCTGTCCTACCTCGAACGAAACAAACGTCCCGCAATTAGGATAACACGAAAGAACATGCACAGAAGGAAGTTATCTCAAAGCACTCTCGATTTACTTATTGATAGATTTTTATTCAAGTTTAACGAAAACTATTCACAATCGGAGGGGGACCTCCACGTGTGTGAAAAATTTGCAACATTGCAGAATGAACTGAACAGAGCTTCCCGGTTAGCTATCTTTGGAGGGGAAGGACACTCCAAAGTGGCAACGAACCAGAAGAGGTACTCCTCTCTGGCGAGAAACCCTCCGTATGTGTTTCACCCGATTTACTCGAGTGTACCAATGAAAGAAAAGTATCATCGATTTAAAATAAAGAAATATGAAAAAATATTTTCCCGTCTGATTCAAGGGGGGATATATAACTCGGATTATGTCATCCCCACCTGCAACATCAGTGACATGATCGTCCCTTTGTTCAGCGTTCATGACGAAGAATTTATAGAAGAAATATTTTCCATAGTGACGCATAAGGAAGAAGTGGAAAAGTACGAATTGACTTTACACCCTTATTTGGTGTGCAGATTTTTAATTGAAATTAATGGCACCATTTTGAGTTCCCTACTGGCGATGAAACACTTCATGTGCATGCATATAGGGGGGGGAAATCATCACTCGAAAAGAAATCGGGGAGACGGGTTTTGCATTTTTAACGATGTTGCGATAGCAGTTCATTTTTTATTGTCCCATGGATTGATTAGTAGGGCTATAATTCTCGATGTGGATGTGCATCAAGGGGATGGGACAGCTGAAATATTTCGAAATTGCGCCAACGTAAAAACGATCAGTTTGCACTGCAGGGAAAATTTCCCTCCGGTGAAGGCAAACTCGACAATAGACGTCGAATTCGATTCCTTCGCAACGGATGGAGATTATCTGGAAGCATATAAAAAGGTTTTGGATCATATAGCATCCGAACAGAATTGCATCATTTTTTACCTGTCCGGGGTTGACATCAGTGCGGACGATGACCTTGGCTTTCTGTCCGTGTCCGACGCGGGCATTTATCAACGGGATCTCATGACTTACCAGATGGCCCATCAGAGGGGCATCCCCATCGTCACCGTGCTGTCTGGGGGGTACAACGAGTGCGAGGAGGTCCTCGCGGAGAAGCACCTCTTGACCTTTCGGTGAGGGCTGCGCCGCAATAGGACGCACGTAGGCAGCGTGCCAAAGATGCGAAGCTGTGAAGCAGCAAAGAAGCAAAAAAGGGAAGAAGTAAACAAACAAATTTGCGCACACCTCGCTGCCCTTCCTCCCCGCAGAGCCGCAAAACAATCCTGGAATTCTCGCAACTCGCAGAGGTGAGAAGAACCCGCTGCCGGGGTTCACCCTTCAAGGTAACGTTTTTTTTTTCCTTTTTTTAAAAAAAGCAAAACTCCCTTTGGTGAACATCTCATGGTACGTTTCGCATGAATAGTTCGGATAAAAAAAAGAAAAAAAAAAAAAAAAATCAAAATGGCTAGCTAAGCTAACATAAATGACAAAGGGGAAGAATGCGACGTCTACCGCGATACGAAGCAGGACAGAACGCACGACGTGTTTTTACCACTGGAGGTTTACAACGACATTCACCCCCAACTCTACTGCGTCATTTTGTTCTGGTTCTTTAACCGGGCACTATGCCTGCAGTTGAGCCGAAGGGGCGGGATTTTCTCCTTCTTCTTCTGCCGGATCACTTTCTTCAAAATTTCGGTCTCCTTTTCGGCGGGTAAATTCAGGCTGACGTTCTTGGGGGGCATATACACATTTTCGTAATTCTTAAAATCGAAGAGAGATGTGCCTTCCTTTTTCTGTTCATTCAAAGCGGATATTTTAATCTTCCTTTTATATTTCGAGATGATCTGCTTGTGCATGTTGTCAATTCCGTTCCGCATGTGCTTACCCATTTTTTTTTTCACAGGAATGAATATACTTCCTTTGTTATTCTCAATTCTGTTTTCGAGTAATATTTCGTTAAGTGGCTGTTCCTTTATCTGCAGACTTTCTTCGTACAGCAGGCAGGAAAATGGGACTGATTTATTTTCCTTGTTTGAAGAGGGGCTATTATTATCAATGCTGAAGAGGGATGAGATGAGTTCATTTAGGCTGTCACTTCGAGGGAGGTCAGTTTCCACGTTTGCATTTCCGCATGGATCGATACATTCGTGGGTGGAGGCACCTGGGGAATGTTCCTCATCGATGTTTTTATTTCCCGATTCATCCTTTGATTGATTTTTTCCCATTTTGACATGGTTCATGGAAGGGGCGTACTCCGTTTGATTAACAATTTGTTCTACCTTCTTTTCTCCATTGATCAGTTCGGGTTGATCATTTCTAAACGACGATGTGGTGTTGGCCTCTTCGCATGGCTGTTCTTGTACCCCAGACTTGCTATTTCCTATGCCTTTCTCTGTGTCTATATTCATGTGGTCACCACTTCTCTCAGTTCTTTTCTCATTTAGCGGAGGGGTCTCGTCTAACTTGATGGACATCCCTTTTCTGTAACTAGCATTGAGATTCTTTCGACTTGGTGTATAACTTCCGTTTGGATCTTCCTCCTTCTTTTTCTTTTTTCTCCTTTCGATTATTTTCCTTTCTGTACTGCTCATCACTGGTGTATTGGGGTCCTGGTCCTTCTTGGCTTCGCCTCCTGGAATGGGTACAGAATCCTTCACATTGGCACTACCATTCTGGTGGGGTGTTCCTTCCACATGAATGTCTTCAACGTTGGGAGAGATATCCTTGTTGCATTTTTTGATCGGCTTCTCGCCTTCGTCTTCCTTATCCACTGCTGACTCTATGGCTTCCTCCTGGGGAGTGCTCTCCTTTCGGGGCGCCCCATCTTCTGCCTCCACCTCTCCGCGCAGCGCTTCATTTTGGTCTCCCTCTGCCGGTTGGCTCGCTAATTGGAAGGTGCTTTCTGCCTCGCTCAACGTGTTTGGCGTGCTGACACCGGTTGGCGTACTCGCTTCGGTTGGCGTACTCGCATCAGTTGGCGTACTCGCATCAGTTGGCGTACTCACATCGCTTGGCGCCGTTTCCTGCTCCTTCTCCTCCGTAAAGACGGGGCCGATGCTCGCGCCGAACTTCTCAATGCGCGACAACTCAATGTCGTATTCCCTGACTTGAATCTCGCCGCAAAAATTTACTTTGCTGGTTCTCCTGTGTTTCGCCTCGTTTTTCTGTTCCCTCTTCTTGGGGCCTTTCTCCAGGGTGGCAGATGTGGTGGTGCTAACCAGAAATTGCGCATATGGGGCATCGCTAGTTGAACCCGTGCTGCTGGCACATTTATTCACTGCTTCAATGCTGATATTTTTCTCCGATTCGAACTTCCTCAACGCGCAGTAGTAGTCATTACTGTTGATAAAAGGCGTGTGCACCACATCTGAGGGGAGTGTTCTCGAGGGGTCTGCACCGGAAGACTTGTGCAATTTCACGCAGTGCTCCGTTAGCAAAGCGTATTCTGTGAAGTGCACATTTAAGCATATAGGACAGTGGTAATGCGAATCTGTGAAAAGTTTCTTTTTTTTTTTTTTTTTCATTTTTTTGCTAATCCGTAGGTACGACTTCTCCTTCTCTTCCTCCTCTTGCTCTTCGAGTCCGCTATGAATCAACTTGCATGGGAATATAATGTAACCCCCGAGGATTTTTCTCTTCTTCCAATGCTCATTTAGGTAGTGGACATAATTTTTCATGTAGCTATTTGGGGGGTAATAAGCCTTGTCGCACAAGGGGCACAGATACTTCTGCCATTCGGGCCTTCCATAGATTAACCTCTGATCCTCGAGAGAGTGAAAGGCTTCGATTCGGAGAGGCATCACTGGCGACCTGTGCATTTCCTTGTGTATGTCTGTAATATATGGGATGTCCTGATTTAGTTTTTCTGCTTCCACACGATGGTTTGTATAAAGGGAGACCTCGCCTTCTTTGTCTTTTCCTCCAAGCGATAGGTCATCGGCTGGAGTGGCGGTCCCGTTGATAGACATCTCTTTCTCATTTCTTACACAGAGGGTTGGTACCAGCTGGCTCTCTCGGTTGTCTCTTCCTCCCCACGCCTCCTTCTCCGGCACTGATTCGCCCGATGTCCCGTTGCAAGTTAACTCCGCGTCGTCCACTTTGTCCGAGGTGGAAACATCTGCACTGGTGACATCCACATTTAAGACATCCAACGTGGGAGCTGTTCCCCCGGTGACCCCCCCTTCCACGCCACCCCACTTGTTAGATCCCAACGAAGAAGCTTCACCTAACTGGCTAAACCGTCGAGGCCCACTACGTGCACCCCCTCTGGTTGTCTTATTCGCTGGCCCCTTTGAGCGGCCCGCCTTGCGAACCGGTTCGCTCTGCGCTGTGGATTCTTCGATTCGGTTGGCACCTTCCCCCTCGTCACCGTTTTTCGGATTATCGAGGGGTGGTCCTTCTTCCCATTGGGGCGTATGCGTCGCAGTTAGGTTGTCCTCCGTTTGGTCGTCCTTTGTTTTGTCCCCCTTCATTTGGTCGTACTTCGTCTGATCGTCCTCCGTTTGGTTGACCTCCTCTACAGGGTCTTCCAGATGATCTACCTCCTCTTCCTGCTGCTCCTCCGATCGACTTCCATCTGACGCACCCCGGGTAACAAACTGAAACAAAGTTCCACTGTGGAGGTCGCCAGACAGGACGTCCAAGCTGGTCATGCCCGATTCGTCTTCCTCGATGCACTTGTGCGGGGGGAGCTTTTCCCCCTCCGTTTTTCCATCCGTGGTGCTTTCGCTGCTGACGCTGCTCCTGCTGCTGCTCCTGCCGCTTCTCCTTCGACTGTTACCAACGGTGGTGCCATCCCCTTGGAGGGTTCCAATCTGGGCAGCAACGTTCCGGGATGAATAAATGTGGCAAAATGGGGACTCATCCCCTGTGGAAAAAAAACTCTTCTCTTCGTGGATCTTGCCACTTAATAGATCGCTGGTATGGGGAATTTCCTCCCGAGGGAGGGGAATCGCACTGATAATTTTCCTCTTTTTGTGACACGACGATTCTGCCATCACTTTGGTTGTCGGTCTCTGCGCACTTTCTTGCATGTCCGCAGATTTGGGGGGGATCATAGTGGGGTCGTCCTTTCGGTTAAACTTGCTGCCTTCAGTTTGCCTGCTTGGAAGCTCCCCATCGTCGAGGCAGTCACCGCTTCCATTGACACTGCTGCTGATATTGGCACCTCCACCTTTATCTCCCCCCCCATCATTACCCCCACCCTGTTTGTCCTTAATCATGGAAATTTTTTCCCTTTTCTTTCCGTTCCGATTGGTACTTCTTTGATCCACCTGACACTCCTTCTCGTCCTTCTTCTCGTCTGTCTTCTCCTCCTTCTTCTCGTCCTTCTTCTCGTCTGTCTTCTCCTCCTTCTCGTCTGTCTTCTCGTCCGTCTTCTCCTCCTTCTCGTCTGTCTTCTCGTCCGTCTTCTCGTCCGTCTTCTCCTCCTTCTTCTCGTCCGTCTTCTCCTCCTTCTTCTCGTCCGTCTTCTCCTCCTTCTTCTCGTCCGTCTTCTCCTCCTTCTGCTTATCCTCCTCCTTAGGGTCCTTTCTTTTCTGGCTCGAAAAAGTCTTCCTCGGGTGGGCACGACTAGTACCGGCAATCAAGCATTGTGCCGATTTTGCACGTGGAATTTTTTCCTCTATTTCGACAAAACGTTGCTTCCTGTTTGTGGGAAGGCACATTCTTAGTTCCTCCTTATCAGTGTGCTCTTTGTTCGAACGCATCGTTGGGATATTATTGTTTTTTTTTTTTTTCCCATTGCTATGCGTGCATGCAGACAAGTTGCTGCTAGGGGCATCACACACTTTTTCGCACTGTTCACCATTTCCGCGCGCTTCGTTAATTTCCTCCACCCCGCGCTTAACCCTTTCCTTTTCGTCCTCGCGTGCATCCTGGGGATCTTTCCCCGTTGAGCCTTCCTTGCCCTCTGCTTTAGGTGGTTCCGCAAACAAGTCAATTTGTGATGTCCCCAATGCGTCCGCAGCACTCCTCTGACTGGCTTTTTTTTTAGCATCCCTTTGTTTCGGTTTCTCTCGTTTATCCTCGTACACCTCCACTTTTTTTCTTTTTCCCATATTTAACTTATTTTTCTCATTTAAGCTAACAGCCCTGGTGCCCACTTGTCGCCGATGGTTCATCCTTGTGGGGGTCTTCTTCCCTACCTTGTCTTGATGTAGGTCCCCATCTGTTCCCTTTTCATTATGTGTTGTCCCGTGGTTCCTTCCAACTTTTGCTGCTAAGTGTCCCTGCATTTGTGCAGTTGTGGCTGTGTGGTCTGTCCTCACCGCATCGACATGTACTTGGCTACGCACTTCACTACGCAGATCGCTATGCTCTTCCCTATTCCTATCGTGCGTTCTGCCAACACCCTTTTTGCAATCCATTTGGTGAAATCTCCCTATCACTTCGACATCACCAAAGAGGGGGAGGCATTCATTTTTCTCTTTCGCAGCATCCGGCTGGTTATTTTTGTCAGGAAATTTATCCACCCCCTCCTCTACATTCTTTTCGTGTTGACGTTCATGCAACCAGGTGGTACTTTCCGCTGTGTTTGGTGCCCCCTTTGATATCTGGCTTCCTTCGTCCTTCCCTTTGTCTTTTGCTGCGAGCTCTGCTCCTGTGCTCGCGGGGGCGTCTTTGTTCGATAATGCATGTGCCGAGGCGCTTCCTAGTAGTATCTTTTCCCTGTGTGCTTCCCCGCGCATGGGCAATGCATTCGCATTGTTGGTGGCGTGGTCCGTGTTAGCTGCGTTGACCGCTTTGGACTCGCTTGTCGCACTGGTCTCGTCACTCGTTTTGATTTGTTCAGTCGCGTTAGTTGGGTCACTCGCGTTGGTTGGGTTACTTTCTTTCATCGCATCAACCTTTTCGACCGCGCCCGCGAGTGTAACGCCCTGTCTATCTCTAAGTCCACTTGCCGCCTCACCACTCAGCGCAGCAGACTCGCCCTTCGTTTTTGTTCTAGGATCCTCTTCCTTACATGCTTTTCTCCTGGGTCTGTCATTTCCGTCCTTGGGTACCTTAACCCGATTCGTCCTCTTCACCAGGGGAACGCCATTGCAGGGGTTGGGTACGTGTGCAACGGTGGCTGCACGGGAAAAAAAGGAAAAAAAAAATATATAAGATAATAGCTATCTAGGTCAGGTAAAAATTTCACAAAAGAAAAAAAAAAAATACAAAACGGAGAAGAGCAGAACAGAACAAAACAATAGCTAGGTTGGGTAAAAAATGGCGAAAAGGCAACTCTCGTGGCTATAGAAAACTGTGTGCAGCAATTACTCTCTTGCGTACCATGTCGGGATGTTTTCTTCTGCGTTTTCTTTTCCTTTGCCAAGCCATTCAAATCGATGATGTCGTAATATGGTTCTCTTATTTCTTCGCAAAATGGTTCACTTTTGTTCTCTCCGCAGAATGGTCCATTTCCGCCCCCAAGTTGTGCGTCCTGTCTCGACTGGGCATCTGCGACGGGGAACTGTCCCATTCCTGAAGCGAACGCATTTACGCTGCGCAAATTCGTAGAGAAAAGACCCACGTGTGTGTCGTTCTTTGCGTCATTACTCTGCTTCTCCCGTTGTGATTTGGTCGCTTTGCAAAAATGGGCATCCTTTATGGCAGCATTTTGTCCATTCATTTGTGGCTCTTTTGAGTTTGTGATGCAGTTTTTACATAGGATGGCGCCGCTACCCCCTGTGGGTATGTTATTTACCCTCTTTATCGATTTTTCCCTTTTTAATTTTTCCTCATCATTCCCACTTAGGATTCTGTCTCTAGTGCCCCCCTTGTTTCTCCCAAGTGCAGTAAGCTTGGCAGCATCAGTTACTGGTGCTCTGTGGTAAAGGGGGGCTGGGGTTGTTTTTCCCCTTTTGTCTTCACAGCTAATATCTGCAGTAATGTTAAACTGTTTGTTGAAGCTGTTAATCAGTACTGGAGTTACTGCAAAGATTTTTCGTAAAGCCTGCAGGGGAGCCTTTCGATAGCTGTCCAAACAAGTGTGCATAACACTTTTCTCTTTGAAATTGTTTTCTTTTTGGGAAAATATGTTAATGCAATTCTCTCTTTTATTTTCTTCGCGAGTGGAAAGATTGACTTGTTTCCGTCTTGTCGCATCGAAGATTCTGTTTTTTTCGATGTTTTTTATTCTGATTTGCAAAGGGTTTGTTGTCCTTTCTGTCTTAAAGTTGGTCCTCGACATTGATTTGTCGTTTCTGCCATGCTCAGACTGAGACCTCGTTTTGTTGTAAATCATGCTGGTGTCTCCACGTGGAAGATTCATTTTATTTTTTTGAACAGCTGTACTTGGACGGATGACCATCTGGCTCTGTCTTTCCTTTAGCTCGGTTCCATTTAGCTTCCTCTTCTTTGGCAGAAAATTCATTTCCGATGATTCACTCGACTGGTAGACGCTTCCTTGGGCGTTCTTTTTGTTTCTCTCTTCCCTTTCGTGCATGGAATAATTGGAAAAATCGCGACCATCGCGCACATGGCGAAAATCGCCAACATCGCCCATGTTGTGTATATCATGCTGCTTATCCTTCACGTGAGGCTTCGACGACTCACTAATGTGCAGGGCTTCGAAGCTCCTTCTCCTCATTTCTTCAAAGGTGAGGCCCTTCTTCACCTTCTCATGCGTGAGGTGCAGCAAATTTTTGTTACATAGGCTCCCCTTGGGGGGGAACCCATTGCGGTTCGCGACCTTTACCAAGTTGGCCACGTTTTCAGCGACTACACCGTGTGCTGCGTTCGCTGCGATAGCTGCGATCGAGGCGTGTACATGTCCCCCGACACAGGAGGTGTCAATCATAATGCACATTTTTTCGTTGTGTTTTCGAAATGTAGCAAACTGGTTGTCCCTACTGAGTGGGCGTTCCTGCTTCCTCTCCCCCGTGGATGGTTTCATCTCTCGTTTGAATTTTTCAGATGTGAAGGGGAAGTCCTCCGAACTGAGTCTATGAAAGGGGTCATTTTCGTCACATCGGATGTGTCTGTTAGGCTGAAGAGGTCCATGTGGATGATGAGAGTAATCGTGTATGCAGACCCTACGTGAATCGCCATTTCTGTTTGGTACATTGAAAATATGAGTGTTTCTTCCTCCCCGTGTGTTGATCTGATCTCTATTCTTGTTAAATGTATTTCCTACTGTAGCAGATGTGTATGTAGCGCGTGTCGAGAAGGACTCCTGTGTTGGGTTGCTACTCCTGGGACCACTAAAAGGATATGAACCTTCCGAAATGTCCTTGTCATGCACTTTTTTTATCGATATGTAGCTTTTTGTCCGTGTGGTTTTGTGAGGATCATTAAATGAGAAAATGGATAGCGATGCGTTTAGCAATGAATTTGCCTCGGGGAAGAAAGGGAGTCTGTCCGAGTTGATCCTAGGGGGGAGGCTTCCACTGTTACTGCCACCGCCTGTCCATGAGTTGATCGATTCGATTGACTCGATGGGCACGATGGACTCACTAGAAGTGCTTGTCATTCCATCGGGGGATATTCCCCTTCTGTATCCTACCCCGTTTGACTTCCTCATGTGGTTCTCCATCTGTCTCTCCATGTGGCTCTCCATCTGGATAATTCTGGCTCTTCCAAACTGGGGATACTTTTTGTTCATGGGTTCAGGATTCCTGGACCTACCCTGAACAGCTTGAATGCAGTTATTTTGGATGGTCATGGCTGTGGTGATTTTTTCTGAATGGCTAGTTCCATTTATTCCTGCACTGTTTCTACCGTATATTCCAGGGGCACATTTTACAATTGCGGCTTGCTTGTCGGCGGGAATCAACTTCTCTCTCTGTTGTCGCTCCTTCATTTGATGCAGATGATCTCGTTGTGGGGTGTTCTTCCTATGATGCAAGCATTCGTGTCTTCTCTGTTCCTCGTTTTTTAGTTGCATTGAAATTTCCAAACTTTTTGACGTGGCGTTATTTCTCATGTATGCAAAGTGGGACTGATCGATGCTTCGTTCCCTGCTGCATCGGTCATTCAGATGGGGCAAGTGGGATGGTAAGTTTGCCATCATTTTGTTGTTAAATGGTTCCTGCTGAGGGATCCTCATTATTTCCCTCTGTCTTGTCTCCCTGTCGAGGAAGCTTTGTGTCCTTTTATTTTTCTTCAAAAAATTTTCTGTTATCATTCGGGCGTTGATCGGGCCACTCTGATTGTGCGTTGATTTGCTGCCCCTTGTGTCGAGGGGTAGGAGGAGTTTCGACAGAGTGGTGTCTTCCTTCCTGATGAGGCGACTATTCGGTAGGGCCATTTGGACACTCTCCTGAGAGATGTTCTTATCTCTCGAGTTATTATGAGATAGATTGGGAAATTTCTCCTCGGGCCTGTTCAACAAGTTCATTAGTGCTTCTCCTTTGTGAATAAGCTCGTGATGCTTTTTCGAGTACGCACTTTTGTGAAGGTCCCCATTTTTGTGATGCACGAGAATGTTTACTTCTCTTTGGTTGGGAAGTGGGAGGGCGCCTTGGTGGACCATTTGATTTTCCGCCTGATTGTTCTTCCTATTTTCGCCGGGGTGTGGGGGGGCACTGAAGTGCACCGTTTGTCTTACGCCGATTGCGCTGCTTCGGGCATTGTCAGTTCGGGGGTTAGCACTTAGCCCATTTCTATTTTGCATGTTTCCACTTGGCCCCATTCCAATCCGAGTGTCTGCACTTGGTTCTCTTGCCCTTCTGGCGTCGACACCCTGGTTTGGCCCGTGATCCGAGCCGACAAACATTTGTTGACTCGGCCCGCTGTTGTTATGGCGACTTCTGAACTCCTTTTTCGAGCCGTTTTCAGGGGTCCACTTGGGAGGGAATTGTTGTCTGCTTTGGCTTCTCTTATTATCGTGTCCCTTCCCATGGATCCACCTTTCTGCTGATTTGCATCTCAGCTCGCTTCTGCTTCCCTTGGGTACCCCCACTTGGTGTCTGTATTCCCCTTCCCTCTGCATGTGGTTAGAGTTGCTAATTCTCCTGTTCATTCTTTCGATTTAAAAATGTAAAGTGTAGCAAGAAACCGTGCGGAAGAAAATAAGAGTCCAATTTTTGGCTAAGCAAAGAGAGTTACCCCCCCTCACACACATCTGTCTCCCTACACAGAGTGTCGATGCTCACGACTCTTTGGTGTGTTACCATACGTTATTGGAAATTGTCATAAAAGGGAACGATGGCATACTTTGGCCACTTTTTTTTTTTTTTTCCCAAAATGAGACGATAGCAGGGTAGGTAGACAGAAGCGTTTATCCGATTAA